TGGAGCTGATTGGTCAGGATTGGGGGCGGGGCCAGATCCACGGACGAATCGGAATCTTCCCGCTGAACTTCGCCGAGGTGGTGGAGCCTCCAGAGGAGAAACCGACGACAACAGAGAGCACCGTGACAGGAAGTACTGGTGAGCCTTTATAGCCCAACATTAGCCGCCTTTAGCTTAGCGGCGGTGACGTGAAGTCATGTGACCTTGCTGTAGTTCCTTTATAGCCCAACATTAGCCGTCTTTAGCTTAGCGGTGGTGACGTGAAGTCATGTGACCGTGCTGCAGTTCCTTTATAGCCCAACATTAGCCTCCTTTAGCTTAGCGGTGGTGACGTGAAGTCATGTGACCGTGCTGTAGTTCCTTTATAGCCCAACATTAGCCACCTTTAGCTTAGCGGTGGTGACGTGAAGTCATGTGACCGTGCTGCAGTTCCTTTATAGCCCAACATTAGCCTCCTTTAGCTTAGCGGTGGTGACATGAAGTCATGTGACCGTGCTGTAGTTCCTTTATAGCCCAACATTAGCCACCTTTAGCTTAGCGGTGGTGATGTGAAGTCATGTGACCGTGCTGTAGTTCCTTTATAGCCCAACATTAGCCACCTTTAGCTTAGCGGTGGTGACATGAAGTCATGTGACCGTGCTGTAGTTCCTTTATAGCCCAACATTAGCCACCTTTAGCTTAGTGGTGGTGACGTGAAGTCATGTGACCGTGCTCTAGTTCCTTTATAGCCCAACATTAGCTTTAATGTGTTAATATGTGGAGATTATCCTGCTGAACTAAACCTATAAGTATCATAAACGTTTGAATAGAGATTATTTTCTGCTATATTTTTAGGGTCCAACACAGAAATACGTCATCACTGCACCACCATATATATTTCATGGTTAAAATACTCTGTAAATAGTAGTTTTATTTATTATTTACTGTGTCCTCAGCAGCACCAGAGACCTCCCTGGATCCAGACTCTCAGACTGCAGTAAGAAAGATCCCTTCTGTTTAAAAGTTGTTTTTATTAAGGATAAACAAGGAAAAAGTGATCACTTGTGTTTTAAATATTGCACACACATTATCACAGAATGTTGTATTTTCTAATAAATATATTATACATTTCTGGTTATATATTTCACTAATAAATCCATTGTGTGTGTGTGTGTGTTGAGGTGGAGGAGTGGGTCGAGGCTTTGTTTGATTTCCCCGGTCAGACTGCAGAGGACCTGTCCTTCCAGCAGGGGGCGCTCATCCTGGTGATGGAGCACATCGATGCTGATTGGAGGAGGGGGAAGCTGGGGGGGAAGGAGGGGGTCTACCCTGCTGCCTTCACACAGCCCTGCAATGGTAACACACACACACACACACACACACACACACACACGTTCCCATCAATAGAATTAATATATGACTAAATTAATAGACAAATGAATAAAAAAATGCATCTATCCAGAGCAGAAAATCAAATCACACGTTCCCATCAGTAGAAATAATATATTAAAATGTTGAATGCTTTCTGTTTCCAGCTCAGCCAATCACAGGCCAGCAGGCAGAGGTTAGAGGCGTGGCGAAGTTCGACTTCACAGCAGAGGGCGAGGGCGAGCTCTTGTTAAAGGTGTGGGTTTGTGTGTGTGTGTGTGTGTGCGTGTGTGTGTGTGCGTGCGTGTGTGTGTGTGCGTGCGTGTGTGTGCCTGGGTTTGTGTGTGTGACTGGGTTTGTGTGTGGGTTTGTGTGTGTGACTGGGTTTGTGTGTGTGCCTGGGTTTGTGTGTGTGACTGGGTATGTGTGTGTGACTGGGTTTGTGTGTGTGACTGGGTATGTGTGTGTGACTGGGTTTGTGTGAGTGACTGGGTTTGTGTGTGTGACTGGGTGTGTGTGTGTGTGTGTTTACTAAAACATGTGCTCTCTTTGTGTCTCCCCCCCTGCAGGTTGGTGACGTCATAACGCAGGTGGAGTTTGTGGATGAGCAGTGGATTCTAGGAGATGTGGGCGGGAAGCGTGGGATTGTTCCTAAAAACTACATTTCCCTTCTCTGATGAGGAAAAAGGGAAATCCTGAAAACTAGGAATAATTTTTTTTCTTCCATTTTTTTTTTTGAGGGCTGAAAACGTATGGAGTTATGTTCCGGTGTTTCAACATTTTACCAAAAACTTTTCAGGCGGTTTTGAAAAAAAAAAAAGCCGCCTGTTCAGTTTTTATTGGCATTTTTTGGAAAGTGGATACCCTCACGTTAACAGGATGGACCTTTGCCGCCGGAGTAAATCTGATTTAACGCTTTGTGTTTTCAAATGTTTGACTCCGTGGACTATTTCCCACCTGGACTGGATTTGACTTGTTATTCCTCTCACTGACTTTTGTCCAATATTCCTGCAAAAAAAACAACTTTTAAAGTTCCTACGGCTTCAAACGCATCTCCCTGCATCCGTTTCAAATCGATCTGCATATCGGGAATATGATCTCTGTGGGACTTCTGCTTCTAAGAACAGCCGTTAGATGACATTTCCTCCTTTGTATGCATCGAGATACATTTTCAACCTGCAGTATTTAAACGGGAAAGTAGGGCTGCGAAATTAATCAAAAATACTAAAGAGACTACTGTAGTATCCAAATGGCTTATTTAAAAGTATATGAATGAAGTAAGAGATAAACAGTATTTTACAGACTTAATTAAACCCCTTGTTTGGTTCAGATCCACCTATCACACTGATAAATGATTTAAAGAAAATAATTCCCTTTTTATATCATGCGTCAAAAGGTTGTTACAATATCAGTTAAAATATTCACAATTTAGTTATTTTTTTCCCAATAGTGCAGCCTTACTGGAAGATTAATTCACTTAAACTAACTCAGTTTAAACTTGTATTTAAATATGCTCATCATGGGGCGGAGACGACGAGAAAACTGGATAAAAATGGAATAAAAATGTATTAAAAACGGAATAATGTGGAGCTTTACGAAGAGGCGAGTCAAATTGTAGGTAGGCAGCCATTTTGTTTTTTTTGTCGTCATGAACGTTTTTAAATCGTAGCGCTCATTGCCACTTTAGTGAGGAAATAACGATGAGTTTTATTTCGTAACGGTAGGTACCTTTTAGTTATTTATAAATGTTTCTTTTGTTGCACACGTTTCCACTGGTAGATTCTTGAAAGCTTTGTAACACTATCACATGCCTTAAATGCATTATAAAAATACCTATAATGTGTTATAATCTGCTTTTATCACTGTATAATATTAGATATAAGCACTCTTAAATATTCATAGAGCCTTTTTGATCATAACTATAAGGTCAGTTATCATAACGCTTAATAATCACTGCGAGTATCATCGTTTAAATGCATTTTAATCACATTATATTGCATTAAAAGCACTGTTTTAATGCAATATTTTTAAGTGAATTGGTCACTGGGTGCTGTTTTTAAGAAATGTTTTTGTAGGGATTTAATTATCATGTTCACTCATATTTCGAATAAACACATTAAAATGCATTATACAAATATTAAATGTAATTATAAAAATTAAAATTCACTCCGATCTCTGCAAAAAAATGACCGGGAGTGACCGGTAAATATAACGTTATATGATATTTGACCTTATATGTTATAAAGTGCTTTAAAATGTGTAACACTAATGTGTGTGTTTTTAAATGAGACACACACACTGAAATATTTAGGAATCGCTTTGTAACTAAACATTCCAGCTTTTTATTACAAATAAAACTGTCAGACATTTCAATAATATTTTAATTTGTATTTTTATTCTTTCATTTCTTTTTAATTGTTGCTCCGATATACACCTGAACATCAGCAGGAGAGGACTCTTTAAAGTGGACCTATCATGCTATATTTAAATGATATATTGTAGGGCCATACCTATATAAGGTATATTTATACGTTTCTGTTTTCAAAATACCAAACAGATCATGCATTTTAGCCATGCCTCATTTCGCTCTATGTGCTGTTTGCTGTCTACGGGTCTGATTCTGCTGACCACGCCCCCCTACAGGAGAGGGGAGACGTGCTCTGATTAGCTGCTGGGCTGTCAGAAGAGGGGGAGAAAAAGAGATCTCCGTCCTCCGTGTTTTATTATATAGAGTCGTTAGTCATTTGTTTTAAAGCTCAATAAATAACAAAGAAGACCTTTGACCGGCACTTTTCTAATTTTGTCCGGAAGATTTAAACTTTAACGGACATCTTGACCGGCGAAAGTAACTGAAACTGAAACTCTGCCGCACGGTCCCCTCGTTCCTTGGAAGAGACGGAGAGGTGGGTGTTTGTCATCTGCTGGTGGACTAACCGGAGAGAATTACAGTGCTTGCCTCGACGGGGAGGGATTGCATTGAATTAAAGCAGCGGGAGCAAACGCTTGCCTCGGGGAGGGAGAAAAAAAGCCACAGCGGAGAATAAACAGAAGGGTAACCATGGTAACTATGGGCGGGAAGTCTTCTTCGCTGCTTTTGTGGCAGACTACAGCGCCACTTACAGGCCTGGCATATGTACTACAGCGTCTCCAGCGCTTTCGAGCGGCAATGGCCGGCCGTGGCCCAACCCCACATTCCCCTGATAGGTGGAGAGTTGGCCCAATAGCCGTAGCGCCACCGTCCTGACGTCAGGACAGTGTTCAAATCTGGATCAGTTTTTATCAGATCCGTTGCAGCCCCTTTTTTAGAGATTTGGGTATGGAGGAAAATAGAGAGGGTTGTGTTTTCTGACACTTGGTGAGTTCCCTGGAACACCGGGGACACATATTCATGTATAAAAGACGTACAAAAGTGCATTTTGCATGATAGGTCCCCTTTAAAGTAGAGACACTACATACTGATATACACCTGAACATCAGCAGGAGAGGACTCTTTAAAGTAGAGACACTACATACTGATATACACCTGAACATCAGCAGGAGAGGACTCTTTAAAGTAGAGACACTACATACTGATATACACCTGAACATCAGCAGGAGAGCACTCTTTAAAGTAGAGACACTTTAAGATTTACTAAGGACAGCGACACACACACTTCAGGATAACATGATGCCTCTGCACCAGTTTTTATTTTCACAGTTGAATTCATCGTTTCTCCACATCAGGGTTTTTATTTTCTGTGAATGCCGTCACCCTGATCCCACAAACACACGTTTCATATCAACACACGTTACACATCATCGTTAAAACATCTCCTTCCACTGAAACACGGGACTAGTTTTCCTAAAAATATCTCACAAGAAACACTCAATTTAAATGTTAAAATACTCAGAGCATCTTTGCTTCATTTTCCAGATTAAATAACACTTTTTAAAGCAGCAAAACTTCAGTCTTTAAAAGTTCACATTTTATTATATTTTGATCATATTGAGAATCCCTTTAGGAAAACCAGCCCCGTTTAGGTTTGAAATCCTATCTCGTCTACTGCAATTAATTTAAAAAATCAGTTCTCGTCTAAAATGAGGCATGATGTGAAATGATCGCACACACACACACACATTCTGCATTTGATAAAAACACACAAAGGACCAAATAACTGCAGCCCCCCCCCGGGTCAAAACACCCTGAAATACACCCAATAATTCAAGTTCATGCTTAAAAGACAATGGCAATAAATGTATTGTCTCTGAAATGATTAATTAATGCACGTTACCTGTAAATTAAAGCTGCATTCAAGTACCAGGAAAGGTAATAGGAAATATCTTCGGACGTTTTTTCTTTACTTTTGTCAACATAGAATTGAATGTTAATTAATACAGTAAATTCTGATTACCCAGACTCATTGCAACCTGGATAATAAACAAAAATGTCACTAAAGATATGCATAATAATTTGTATGGGACTTGAATGCAGCACGTAACAGGAAAAAGGTTTGCATGGTGCGTTCAATTACCATCGTTAGGTAGTTTAATAAACATTTTTTAAAGGGATTTTGGAAACACTTGGATACAAACCCTGCATGTAAGAAAAGGAACAGTTACTTGCATATTTAGCAGTATTTAATTGACGTAAAGTGATGTTTTTACAATTTTTTTTTGCCAGAAATCAACCAAAATATATGTCCAAAGCCAGTTTAAAAACATTTGGACATGTTTTTAGTATTACTGCCACTTCTATCTTCTCTAAAACATATTTTTAGAAGTGCAGAACAGATATTTCAGCTGTGTGTCGACCCGGGTGTTGCAGTGCATCAACAGAAGGCTCCTCATGGTTTGGTTTAAAGCAAAGAGAAATTAATTAAGACTAAAGGGTTCATCACAGGCAAGAAGGTGGAGGCCGAGCCGCTGATTAACAGAGCTTTACCGGAATATTTTGGAACATTAAGTGTTTTTTTTAATTCAAAGTAATCATATATATATATATATATATATATACACAAGCCCAGTGCTCTGTTGTGATTGGTCAACCGCTTAGAGATGTCCCGCCCCCTTATCACTTGACCTACAATGTGTTTGAATTTTGACTGTTTACCTCGCTAGCGTCCCAAAAATAATCTCATTATTATATATCATAAGTATAACACTCCCTTCTGTGATTCTGTGTTTAATACGTATTTAAATGCATTAATTTGAACTTTTTTGATAACAATTTGACCGAAAAAAATACAATTTGTGATACTAATCTTAGTTTTGTTTTTTTAAAGATTTGTTATATTTTGTGGATTTGAGTGACAGAATTCCTTTGAAAACTCTTAATCAGCGGCTGTGGCCATAAGGTCAAGGCCATGGAAAGGTCGTGCTAAGGTCAAAGGTTACGGTAAGGTCACAGCACTGCATCAAGTGGACGCATTTATCCCAAAAAAAGTCTTTGATGCAGAAGTAACATTCAAACTCATACAAGTTCATTCATTCACACACTTATTTACACACACACACACACACACACCTTTCTCTCCAACAGACAGCATGACGGATGTGTGGATGGATGATTGACATTGTGACCATATAAGGAAAGAGATCCATCCCATAACGCCATAACATTCCTTTGTTGCCGGGCAACGGTTGCTACGAGATGGACTTCACAGGTAAGAACTCTTTCATCACGGCTGGTCAGCGTCCCTCAGAAACCTTGTTTTTTTTTAATTTAAATTAGGAGATAAAGTACTTTTTCCACATGTCGAGTATTCAGACACTCTTACAACAGTAAAAGTACTAATAGAAATAATAAAAAAGACTCCATTTCAAGTTAATTTGCTCCATTGATGGTGTTAGTTTAGGAAGTAAGTGTATTTATGAAGTGTAAGTACTTAAAGCAGTAAATTGTTCCCTGTGAGTTAATATAGTATATTTAATGATATGCTGTTATGTCATTTCATATATATACTATTGTCAAATACTCAAAACTTCAAATTTATTTAGGTTTCTGTCATTTAAGACAAAGAAAAGCAGCAAATTGTCACTTTTTTAAAGCTGATATCAGTAAATATTTGGCAGAAAAATACCTAAACACACACTGATTAATATTTAATCAATTAAAATTCATTCGGAAATGTTCTTCATAGTTTGGTAGGTAGATTTCTTTTGTTTTATTAGGATTTCTACTTTAATTTCTACTGAAATAAAGCTGTCCAGAACATGTAATGGAGCAAAAAGTACAATATTTCTCCCTGAAATGTAGTAGAAGTATCTCATTCTACTACTCAAGTGAATGTACTTAAATAACATCCGATATGTACATTTTAAAACGCTATAAATGTGAGTTTCTTTAGGGTAAAAACAAGGCTTTCTTCAGGTTGCTGACACACGTTTATAAGTTTATTTTCATTGTAGTATTTTTTGTTTTCAGAACTGCTACTGTTTCCCTACTTCAACACGGACTCACACAGACAGACACCAACAGACAGAGATATTTACAGTATTTACAACATGTGTTATCCCCCCCTCGCTGCAGGAGGGGCGAGCCGTCAGACTGCAGCTAAAAACCTTTAAAAGGTCCGTGATTTTTTTTTTTTTTTAAAGTGTGAGGTTTAGAAGTCACTCATTAATCTGAGTTACAGTACGAGGACAGGTGATAAGAGTGGAGTCTATGTAGATGAGGCTCATTATTTTTAGGGTTTTTTCTGTTATTTCCCCCAAATGTCATCCTTTAAATATCAGTTTTTGGAACAATCTTTACAACCATAAACCAAGTGTACATTTGTCTGTAAAAACCTGTTTTTGGGTTAAAATGTGGGCCTTTTTGGGGGGAAAAACTGCCAATTTGCCAATTTGTGTACGCCTTTTAGTCTTTTCATTAAACCAATGAACCTAAAAGCAATAATTAGTGACCCTTAGACATTTCCGGAGCTTTGGAAATAGTCTTCTTTAGTCTTTTGGCTGATATTTTCCTATATAACTCTTTACAAGTGGCAAAAATCCCAAAACTATCCCATTAAACCAATGGTTTACCTTTTCAAAAGACAGCAAAATTATGAAAAATCCATAAAAACAATGGGCCTTATCTGTCTATACAACCAATGACGAATGCTAGGGTCTGAAAGGTGGAACTTATGGAAGGTAAGGGCTGAGATCTAGGAGATTTATAGGAGTTGATCAGCAGCGTAAACAGGCACAGTACTCAGATATCTCCTCGGGTAAAGGCAGGATAAATGGGACGTTTCCCAGAACAAATGGAAGACATCCTGGTCATACTGGGAATGTGATCCCTAAACCATAGGGAACGTTTGTCAGTGAATCAGTGGTTCATATCCCAGAGGTAAGGGCCATTTTTTCAAGAAATGGGTCCAGTCCCAAGAGACACTGGGTATTGAAACAGGAAGTGTCCAAAAGCACCTTCATGGTGTCCAAAAGTTAATATGGAGTTATCCTTCAAGTACCCGTTAGTGTTCAGACAGAAGAAAATAGGCCCCTATTCCTTGATAGAGAAGTGATTCAAATAAATACTTTCCAGTACAGCAGCAGAGACGGGACTCGTGAAAGTCTTCTGTAGATTAAAAGAGAGTCTACACCAGAGGCAGTTTCCACAAGATGAACTAGAAATAGCAACTGAGACCTTGGTTTTGTTTCCAGTTGAGCAAACGATATGCGTCCTAGACGAGAGGTGAAGAAACCTGTTGATAGTGGAACGTCTTTAGAGATACTTGAGTTTGGTTAAAGGTGAATGAAGAGAATGAGCTCTCGACCAAATGTGCTCAGTGTCCAGGAAATGAAACGGGAATTTTTCCTGACCAAAATCATGGAGGGTTCAGGAATTCGATTGGTTTCCATGAACCTAAAACCGGATGGATTACAACAGCAGAATTGGGGAAACTTGCTCTTTATTAAATGTATTGAAGAATGTTGGAATATGTTTCCCAGTATAAGAAACGGGAAGATGTTCTAGTTCAGATTTAAGGGTGATGGGACAAGTTGTAGACCTTTTGTTTACATTTCTCTGGTTTTCTGGAACATTCATAACTAGAAATGGGGATGATTTGGGGGTTTCTAGTTCAGATTCAAGAGAAGTCATTGGGTTTCCCAGTGGAGTTAAAAAGACATATCATAGACAGGTGGTCGTGGGCTTGTTTGGGCTCCAGAAGAAACACTTATTTAGTTTCCAAAACAGGACAAGATTGTTTTTGGAAATCCTTTGCTTTCCTGGACTAGTCTTAACCAGAACTGGGAATCTTTTTGGGTTTCAAGTAGAGAGAAAACAGGGACTTGTTCTAGTTCAGATTGAATAGCAATCATTGGGTTTCCATTGAGGGTAAACTGGTCCTTTCCAGAATATAAAACTCCTTTAGTTTCGAAAAAGGGACGATTTCTAAACCAGATTAGTTGGAAATCCTCTGGTTTCCTGGACGAGTCTTGACCAGAAGTGGGAATCTTTTATGGTTTCCAGTAGAATCAGGGACTTGTTCTAGTTCAGATTGAAGAGCAATCATTGGGTTTCCAGTTGGGGTAAACTGGTCCTATCCTAGACTGATGATGGACTTGTGAGTCTTCCAGAATATAAAACTCCTTTATTTTCCAAAACGGGACGATTTCTACACCAAATTGTTGGAAATCCTCTGGTTTCCTGGACGAGTCTTGATCAGAAGTGGGAATCTTTTGGGTTTCCAGTCGACCCAACAAGTAGTGTTTCCTGTGGTTTCCAGTCAATGAGATGTGGTGTGTTTTCAGACCAGAGGGGAGGGGACCTGTTTGGTTTCCAGTGCGGCGGATTCCTGCTCTGGTTCCAGTGGTTCCAGAGCGTCTCCACTGGCTTGTTCTTCAGCGCTGCTCACAGTGTGAGGATCATCCTGAACAAACACACCAATCACAAGGAACAAGAGTGAGTACTCGGATTACTTTTTTGCAGTTGACTTGACATATTTTATTTATTTTCATGAACAATGTACGCTAGAGGGGGTCGGACCAGAAACGTTTTTAAGCCTCTTCTTGCCCCTTTTGAACATGACAGAAACTATTTGAGAATTATTATTTTTTATATCTTGAAAGTTTTATTTTTATTTTGCTTCTCTTTGAGGTAATTATTATTACAATTATTATTATTGTTTGTTTTGTTTCTAACATGTTCAATAAATTGACTAATAAATAAATACATTAAATGTTTTGTACTGTTACTTTTAATGAGTAACTTGATTAGAGACAACAATTTCCCATTATTTTAGTCGTTAACAAAGTTTTATAAGCTGCCGAAATGAATGCCGACAGCTTCTTTATAATCAGGAGGATGTAAAGTTAACTTCGGCTATTATTTAAATAAAATCAACGTGTGTGTGTGTGTGTGTGTGTGTGTGTGTGTGTGTGTGTGTGTGTGTGTGTGTGTGTGTGTGTGTGTGTGTGTGTGTGTGTGTGTGTGTGTGTGTGTGTGTGTGTGTGTGTGTGTGTGTGTGTGTGTGTGTGTGTGTGTGTGTGTGTGTGTGTGTGTGTGTGTGTGTGTGTGTGTGTGTGTGTGTGTGTGTGTGTGTGTGTGTGTGTGTGTGTCTTACCGTCACCCAGGGGTGAGAGAGGACTTCCTCTGCGGTGAATCGAGTGTCAACGTTCACCTGCAGCATCTGACTAATCAGCATCTGAGGAACAGGTCATGTGACTGTTACCAGGTAGCAGTACATGTTGAAGCGACTCATTTATTACTCAAAAAACACCATTCAACCTTTATTACACAGGGTTTTTAGTCAACCAGACCAACCAACAGCATTATTTATTAACATAAACGTTGACTTTATTTAATTTTCTGTCTGTTTGAGTGATCCGTACCTTGGCTGGGAGGCTGATGTCGTCCCAGTCCGGAGACGGAAACTCCAGCTTCCCTCGGAGGATCTGATCAAACAACTCCTCCTGCACGTTGTTCTCACTGAGGAGCGGACGTGGACAAATAACAACCAAATAATTAGTCATCAGCATTAAAAACACATCATTGGGGGAAAGCAAACCAGAGCTGTACCCATTTCTACAAAATAACTGTAAATTGTAAATCAAGGTCTATTATCGCTAGACAATATGGATTATGTCAATTATCACAACATTTTTGACCACATTTTTGTAAAGATATTATAGGGTTGACTATAAGTGCTTTTATAAAATATTTAGACCCAGAGAATTTTGATCAATCGTCATCAGTAACGTGGAAAGAATGACAATAAATATAAGAAAATGACATTTTACTGTAATTCAGCTTTAAAAACATGGAAAAGAACAACACTTATGATATATATATTGTCCACTTTGTAACACTCGTGCTCCTATTGGCTAGCGCTCCAACACATTGTACGTGATAGACTAAGGGGCGGGACATCTCTAAGCAGTTGACCAATCACAAGAGCAGACTGGGCTCTGGTTTCAGACAGAGAGGGAAAAGAGGTGCTGCAGCACAGACAGTATGAGACAAATAAAGAGCTTTCTGAACATTAAAGCATGGAGACATGTAGAGACACTACATACTGATATACACCTGAACATCAGCAGGAGAGGACTCTTTAAAGTAGAGACACTACATACTGATATACACCTGAACATCAGCAGGAGAGGACTCTTTAAAGTAGAGACACTACATACTGATATACACCTGAACATCAGCAGGAGAGGACTCTTTAAAGTAGAGACACTACATACTGATATACAGCTGAACATCAGCAGGAGAGGACTCTTTAAAGTAGAGACACTACATACTGATATACACCTGAACATCAGCAGGAGAGGACTCTTTAAAGTAGAGACACTACATACTGATATACACCTGAACATCAGCAGGAGAGGACTCTTTAAAGTAGAGACACTACATACTGATATACAGCTGAACATCAGCAGGAGAGGAGTCTTTAAAGTAGAGACACTACATACTGATATACACCTGAACATCAGCAGGAGAGGACTCTTTAAAGTAGAGACACTACATACTGATATACACCTGAACATCAGCAGGAGAGGACTCTTTAAAGTAGAGACACTACATACTGATATACAGCTGAACATCAGCAGGAGAGGACTCTTTAAAGTAGAGACACTACATACTGATATACACCTGAACATCAGCAGGAGAGGACTCTTTAAAGTAGAGACACTACATACTGATATACACCTGAACATCAGCAGGAGAGGACTCTTTAAAGTAGAGACACTACATACTGATATACAGCTGAACATCAGCAGGAGAGGACTCTTTAAAGTAGAGACCCTACATACTGATATACACCTGAACATCAGCAGGAGAGGACTCTTTAAAGAGGTGACACTACATACTGATATACACCTGAACATCAGCAGGAGAGGACTCTTTAAAGTAGAGACACTACATACTGATATACACCTGAACATCAGCAGGAGAGGACTCTTTAAAGTAGAGACACAACATACTGATATACACCTGAACATCAGCAGGAGAGGACTCTTTAAAGTAGAGACACTACATACTGATATACACCTGAACATCAGCAGGAGAGGACTCTTTAAAGTAGAGACACTACATACTGATATACACCTGAACATCAGCAGGAGAGGACTCTTTAAAGTAGAGACACTACATACTGATATACAGCTGAACATCAGCAGGAGAGGACTCTTTAAAGTAGAGACACTACATACTGATATACACCTGAACATCAGCAGGAGAGGACTCTTTAAAGTAGAGACACTACATACTGATATACACCTGAACATCAGCAGGAGAGGACTCTTTAAAGTAGAGACACTACATACTGATATACAGCTGAACATCAGCAGGAGAGGACTCTTTAAAGTAGAGACACTACATACTGATATACACCTGAACATCAGCAGGAGAGGACTCTTTAAAGTAGAGACACTACATACTGATATACACCTGAACATCAGCAGGAGAGGACTCTTTAAAGTAGAGACACTACATACTGATATACAGCTGAACATCAGCAGGAGAGGACTCTTTAAAGTAGAGACCCTACATACTGATATACACCTGAACATCAGCAGGAGAGGACTCTTTAAAGAGGTGACACTACATACTGATATACACCTGAACATCAGCAGGAGAGGACTCTTTAAAGTAGAGACACTACATACTGATATACACCTGAACATCAGCAGGAGAGGACTCTTTAAAGTAGAGACACAACATACTGATATACACCTGAACATCAGCAGGAGAGGACTCTTTAAAGTAGAGACACTACATACTGATATACACCTGAACATCAGCAGGAGAGGACTCTTTAAAGTAGAGACACTACATACTGATATACACCTGAACATCAGCAGGAGAGGACTCTTTAAAGTAGAGACACTACATACTGATATACACCTGAACATCAGCAGGAGAGGACTCTTTAAAGTAGAGACACTACATACTGATATACACCTGAACATCAGCAGGAGAGGACTCTTAAAGTAGAGACACTACATACTGATATACACCTGAACATCAGCAGGAGAGGACTCTTTAAAGTAGAGACACTACATACTGATATACACCTGAACATCAGCAGGAGAGGACTCTTTAAAGTAGAGACACTACATACTGATATACACCTGAACATCAGCAGGAGAGGACTCTTTAAAGTAGAGACACTACATACTGATATACACCTGAACATCAGCAGGAGAGGACTCTTTAAAGTAGAGACACTACATACTGATATACACCTGAAATCAGCAGGAGAGGACTCTTTAAAGTAGAGACACTACATACTGATATACACCTGAACATCAGCAGGAGAGGACTCTTTAAAGTAGAGACACTACATACTGATATACACCTGAACATCAGCAGGAGAGGACTCTTTAAAGTAGAGACACTACATACTGATATACACCTGAACATCAGCAGGAGAGGACTCTTTAAAGTAGAGACACTACATACTGATATACACCTGAACATCAGCAGGAGAGGACTCTTAAAGTAGAGACACTACATACTGATATACACCTGAACATCAGCAGGAGAGGACTCTTTAAAGTAGAGACACTACATACTGATATACACCTGAACATCAGCAGGAGAGGACTCTTTAAAGTAGAGACACTACATACTGATATACACCTGAACATCAGCAGGAGAGGACTCTTTAAAGTAGAGACACTACATACTGATATACACCTGAACATCAGCAGGAGAGGACTCTTTAAAGTAGAGACACTACATTACTGATATACACATGACATCAGCAGGAGAGGACTCTTTAAAGTAGAGACACTACATACTGATATACACCTGAACATCAGCAGGAGAGGACTCTTTAAAGTAGAGACACTACATACTGATATACACCTGAACATCAGCAGGAGAGGACTCTTTAAAGTAGAGACACTACATACTGATATACACCTGAACATCAGCAGGAGAGGACTCTTTAAAGTAGAGACACTACATACTGATATACACCTGAACATCAGCAGGAGAGGACTCTTTAAAGTAGAGACACTACATACTGATATACACCTGAACATCAGCAGGAGAGGACTCTTTAAAGTAGAGACACTACATACTGATATACACCTGAACATCAGCAGGAGAGGACTCTTTAAAGTAGAGACACTACATACTGATATACACCTGAACATCAGCAGGAGAGGACTCTTTAAAGTAGAGACACTACATACTGATATACACCTGAACATCAGCAGGAGAGGACTCTTTAAAGTAGAGACACTACATACTGATATACACCTGAACATCAGCAGGAGAGGACTCTTTAAAGTAGAGACACTACATACTGATATACACCTGAACATCAGCAGGAGAGGACTCTTTAAAGTAGAGACACTACATACTGATATACACCTGAACATCAGCAGGAGAGGACTCTTTAAAGTAGATACACTACATACTGATATACACCTGAACATCAGCAGGAGAGGACTCTTTAAAGTAGAGACACTACACACTGATATACACCTGAACATCAGCAGGAGAGGACTCTTTAAAGTAGAGACACTACATACTGATATACACCTGAACATCAGCAGGAGAGGACTCTTTAAAGTAGAGGCACTACACACTGATATACACCTGAACATCAGCAGGAGAGGACTCTTTAAAGTAGAGACACTACATACTGATATACACCTGAACATCAGCAGGAGAGGACTCTTTAAAGTAGAGACACTACATACTGATATACACCTGAACATCAGCAGGAGAGGACTCTTTAAAGTAGAGACACTGACTTTATTTAAACTGACCTTCTGAAAGGAGGGAATCCACACAGCAGGATGTAGGTGATGACCCCCGCCGCCCAGATATCCACCTTCAGACCATAACTACACACACACACATACATAGAGATGATATTTAATATATTTACACACCTTTATTTCCACACACTAAACAAACACTAACATCTGTCTCCGTCTCACCCGGTCTCTGCGATGATCTCTGGAGCGACGTACGTTGGCGTCCCGCACACCGTGAAGAGCGGCCCCTCCAGAACCGTCGCTAACCCGAAGTCCCCGAGCTTCAGAGACTTAGTGCCGTCTGGGTACTCACACACCTGAGGCGCACACACACACACACACACACACACACACACACACACACACACACACACACACACACACACACACACACACTGTAAATACCCACACACTAACACTTTAAACACACAGTACACGCACACTGACGCTGAAGCAGATAACCAACGTCAAAGAAAACAGCAAACTGTGTGTGTGTGTGTGTGTGTGTGTGTGTGTGTGTGTGTGTGTGTGTGTGTGTGTGTGTGTGTGTGTGTGTGGGTGTGGGTGTGTGTGTGTACCAGCAGGTTCTCTGGCTTGATGTCTCGGTGCACGATGTTCATGCGGTGCAGGTACTTCACGGCTCCTGAGAGATTAAACACCATCGCACTGGAATCCCTCTCGCTGTACTTAGTGGAGGAAGTGATGGCGTCGAACAGATCCCCGCCCTGAGAGAGAGGTGGAGGTATCATCATTTAAATTATTTAATGCTAACGTTGGTCTATAAAGGAACTACAGCACGGTCACATGACTTCACGTCACCACCGCTAAGCTAAAGGTGGCTAATGTTGGGAGTGATGACGTTTAGGGACTCATTCCCCTTGTTTTAGGACTCATTCCTGCACCACTCTATTCCCTAAAGGTAAACAGGAAGTAGAAGAGGACGCACCTTAACGAGCTCCATGACGAGGAACAGCTGACTCGGCGTTTCGTCCACCTCGATTAACTCAATGATGCTCGGATGGCGAACTCGCCGCAACACCGACACCTCGTTTTCTATCAGGTGCTCCTGAACACACACACACACACACACACACACACACACACACACACACACACACACACACACACACACACACAGTTATAGTGACATTTACGTCTTATATTGAAATACAATAAAATATATAATCATATTAATATAAATGAGCGTTACCTTCCCACAGCAGCGAGCTTTATCAATGATCTTCAGAGCGTACTCCTGTCCCGTCGCCCTGAAAATCAAACAAATGTACATCAATCTTTACAAAAATTCAATTGACATTAAAGTCACTAGGGTGATATCAATTCATTTATCTGTTGAATTTTTTATAATCATTTGTTCAAATGGTACAGAAATGGAACGATGCGATTATTACCGTCTACTTTCATTTTGTGTTTTAATGAAAAATGTGAATGTAAGTGTGTTGACTATAACACAAGTTACATCATTCCTCTGCATCTGATTTCAAAATGTGTTTTTGCTTTTAACACCTACCATATGTTAGGTGTGTAAGTGTTACATTTGTTACAACGACTTCCTGGTAAAACACCTTTGATTTCACGTGTTTTTAATGACAACAAATCAGGATGATCAGAGTTTCATCCCTCTGGGCGTCCGTATGTTTTTACTGTCTATACTTACTTGAAAAGCCATAAATAAATACGGTAAGTGTACTGGATGTTTATTTATTTTTAAACGCCCCTCTTGTTGCTCTCACCTCTCGACACACTCCTTCACCACGGCGAAGTTTCCGTCTCCGATCACTTTCCCCACTTTGTACTTGTCATTGATGACGGAGGAGGAAACGGAGCGATTACCGTTCACTGTGAGGAAGAGACGGCGACATTTTCAGTTTTTAAGATCTACTTTTATATTCCAGATTTTAAAATACACACTAATATTTAACACTGGCTTCCAACACATCTCAGATACAGGGTCATACAGGGTCATTCGGGGTCATTCAGGGTCATACAGGGTCATTCAGGGTCATTGTATACAGATTTTCAAGGCCCCGATCTACACTTATTGATTGTAAGAAATCACCAAACACACACACTCAGATGAACACACACACACACTCGCACACACACCTTCCAAAGTGTTGTCTTCAGGCTGCTCAGATTCTCCGTTAATGTCTGTGGAGGAAGAACGACGAGGCGAGACCTGGAGAGGAACATAAAGAAGATTTATTTTGTGTGAATTTGATGAGAGAAAAGAGTGTATTTTTATAGCTTAGAAGTCTAAAAATGTATGATTTACACCAATTAATAATAAGTAAATGACCTTGAGGCTGCGTCGGGCTCCAGGGCTTGTGGGGGAGGGGCTTGTTCTGGAGGACCGCCCACCTGACGTCTCATTGGCTACACACGAGAAGAGGAAGCATCTGATTGGTTAACATAATCTTTAATATATAAGCATTTTAGGAGTTTATAAGAGAAGTGTTTGGTACCTGAGCCTGGAGACTTGGCCCTGGGGAGGCCTCCTCTGGGGGGGGGTCTTAGGGGAGAAGCCTGAACTGCTAGGGGTCTTGGGAGTTGTAGTTTTTGGAGGGACAGGGGGACGAGACACCTTTGTTTTGCACTCTGGGGAGAAAGAGAGTTATTATATTGAATGGTGGTTAGTTTATGTTATTAAAAGTATAAAGTAAAGTGTGCGTGTGTGTGTGTGTGTGTGTGTGTGTGTGTGTGTGTGTGTGTGTGCGTGTCTGTCTCACCGTTTACAAAGGCTGGTGTTTTGATGCAGTGTGTGAGCACAAAGTCGTCCTGAGCGTAACGAAACTTCTCCGGCCCGCAGGCCATGAACACATCGTCGTCCCCGAAGAAATCCTGCAGACAGGTCAGCTACACGCACACACACACACACACACACACACACACACACACACACACACACATTTTAGTACATGTGACATTTACTATTTTCTCCTTCATCTCGCACTTTAGTTTGTCCTTGTCTTCACCTCTCACTCCTCACATATTTACTCAACGCTTCCAGAACTACACTGTGTGTGTGTGTGTGTGTGTGTGTGTGTGTGTGTGTGTGTGTGTGTGTGTGTGTGTGTGTGTGTGTGTGTGTGTGTGTGTGTGTGTGTGTGTGTGTGTGTGTGTGTGTGTGTGTGTGTGTGTGTGGCAAGAAAGACGTTGTTACTGGATGGCTTGTTACCATGGTAATTACGCTGAATGCAATGTCAATGTGTGTAAGTGTGTGTGTCCTCCCTTCGTCCTTTCAGTTTGTGCAGCCACTTCAAGCAGCGAGACAGAAACCCCATCACACACACACACACACACACACACATTGTTTCATTCAGTCTGAGTCTGAAAGCCGTCAGAGGAAGAGAGACAGAATAAAAGCCCTCGTTATGATGGACTGCCTTCAAAATAAAAGCCTTTATTAGAGTACGACTGTATTTTTTACACGGTTTGTCCTAATAATTAATTTAGTTCTTAATTAAATATTAAAAGGGTTGAAAGATAAAATGTGCATGCATGTGTTGAAGTAAAGAAAATTGTAATTCACTAAAAAATTATGTTATAATGTAATGGATGCTTTTATTTTGAAGGCAGTCCATGCTAAAATTGCTTTCACTTTTTCAAGGCCGATTACACAGCAACATCCGACATATGCAAACAGGATTATTGTGTATTTGTGTGTGTCTGCATGTGTGTGTGTCTCTGTATGTGTATGTGTGTGTGTGTGTGTGTGTTTTAATCTGCGATGCATTCACTGCAACAGCCAAAAATCAGTCACACCGACGCCCAAACAAGCGCTCTGCTGTCTCTTCTTCAGCTCAACACCGTCATTGTGTCACAGCCGACAGCCTTATCTGTAACTTCAAAGAGTGTGTGTGTGTGTGTGTGTGTGTGTGTGTGTGTGTGTGTGTGTGTGTGTGTGTGTGTGTGTGTGTGTGTGTGTGTGTGTGTGTGTGTGTGTGTGTGTGTGTGTGTGTGTGTGTGTGTGTGTGTGTGTGTCTCTGTGTGTGTCTCTGTGTGTGTGAGAGATGTTTAAATCCACAGTCCTTATCCTTAACTCGCACAAAAGAGTTTCAGAGAGGATCAGAGCACTTTCAGAGTGTTAAAAATGAACTTCAGCTGACTGTCTCATTTTTTACAGCTTTAAAGATACGTTTCACTAAAAGTACCAAAGATGAATCTTCAAAAGAGACTGAACTCAGTGTCCGAACACTTCAAGATGAATATTGCATCATAAACAAACTCTCTTATACACAAATCCTCCTGGTATTTATAAATAATCCAGCAGGAACTTTCCAAAAAGTGAATTTATATGTAATTGATTTGCCTTTTTTTGTACCTATTCTGTGTTGTCTGATTCTTCTTCACGGTCTACTGTATATTTTCTACTTTTTTATTCTGCTTTAATTCTATTTTATGATGTTTAAATAATAGTATTGTTTATTTCTACTCTTTAATTTCTACTCATGTGCAATGCCTGGTTTTGTATTGTTGTTTTTTATGCTGCTGCAACGCAAACATTTCCCAAATTGTGATCAATAAAGGGTTATTAGTCGTATCACCTGCTTCCCGTCCAGCGTGTAGAGCCTCTTCACGGTGCCAGAGTCCAGTTTGATGGCCTCTGTGATGTCAGCGAGGACCTGATTGAAGCTGTGCGCCGTCTTCTTGTTCAGGAGGATCCTCACGGCCTTACGAGGCTTCACTCCGCTCCGGATCACCGTCACCAGCTTGGGTTTGATGAAGTCTTTGCTCTCTCGGCTCTCTCGGCTCTCACGGACATCCGGACGGTCCCTGGAGGGGCCGGCGCCGCCCGTTGAGACCCCCGCGGACACAGAGGAGGGTCGAGAGGAAGAGGCGGCGGAAGAGGAGGAGGGGCCGGTGGCAACGCCCGGTTTCCAGCTCTGGACGGAGATCTTGGTGTAGTCCACTTTACGGTACGGCTCGTTGGAGGCACACACGTAGCACTCGCCTGAGGGAAGGGGGAAGACGTTATATGTTAGAACAAAAGGGTTAGGGGTCGCACATTTCAGACGCAGAGGCAATTCAAAGTGCTTCACATCATCATTAACATATGAACAACAGATTCATAAAAACCCATGCATACAAGAGATACGGAATAGTTTCAAAACAACAGTGTAAATACGGTAAGTGCTAAAAACAAGTGCAAAGGCTTCTGGGTAAGCAGCTCTAAAAAGTAGAGTTTTTAGCTTCGACTTAAAAGAACTCAGCGTTGGTGAAGACACTCAGCTTCGGCGTGTTTGGTTCTCAGTCGGGGAACAATGAGAAGAAAGTAGAAAGAAATATATTTTTAAAAATGTGAGAAAAACGACAAATATCTAAAGAAAATTGCAATACCAATTTTTTAAAAGTAAACAAAAAAGGCGACAAAACTATTTTTTTTTTAAGGTTGAAATAGATAGAGTAAGTAAACAAAAAAAAGAGGTTAAAAAATGCAATTCATAAAAAAAACACCACTTTATTTTAGGAAGGAGAAATTCAAAAGATATCCCCAAAAAATGTAAAAATATTTTTTAAAGTTGAAATAAAAAGTTAAACACAAAAAAGAAGTAAGAAATTGCAATAATTATAAAACAAAATGTTTTTATAAGTGAAAAGGAGGTCAAATGTGCAATAAATATTATTAAAAAAGTCAACAAAAAAGCAAAAATTATTATAAAAAAGATACTGTAAAGAAAAGAGGTACAAATAATTTAAATAAATATTTAAAAAAGAACAAAATATGTTATAAATAGCAATAAAAATGAAGAAATATGGTAAAAAAAAAATTAATTGCAATTAATAAGACAAAAGATAATAAGTAACAAATCCAAAAGAAAGTAAACAAAAAATGTGTACACAAATGAATACCCTGTATTACTGTATTGTCAACTGCAGACCGGTAAATTAACTGAGTTTCATTACACATACCACCAAAGAAGACCACCTCTTGTTTGTAAATGCATTACCAAAACATTTGCTTTTAATCTACTTTGAATGATAGCAGTGGTGCCTCTTTCCCCTGCAGCCAATCACGCGTACAGCAACTCAGTCATTTCCTGTTTTACCTTATATGGTTACAACGGCTCACCTTCAGTCGTTCCTCTTTTCACCTCACACTAACCTGTCAGCCCGTGTAAACCTCAAAAACACACTCTCTCACACACACACACACACACACACACACACACACACACACACACACACACACACACACACACTTTATCCCTCACACACACACACAGAGACACACACACACACACTCTTTATCCCTCACACACACACACACACACACACACACAGACACACTCTTTATCCCTCACACACACACACACACTCTCTCTGCAGGTAATGTGTGTGTGACCTTGTCTCTCCATGAGCTGACTTTCACTTTGCTATTCAAACCAGCAGGACGGCACAGCTCTGGGTTTTCATTCAAATAGCTGACCGACTAGATAAATAAAACACCTTCTGTGACGACAAGCAACGTGGATACAGGTTCAAAGACAAAGATAGCATTAAAAAATCGTATTTCCCCAACAATAACACCAGTTATTCAAAAGGGCTGCAACTCAATCTTAGTTTCAATGTGCCAATTACTTCCTAGATTAACGATAATACTAATTATAATAATATATTTGTCCATCCAATCTTCTAAAAGTCCAAAGAGATGTCTTTAAATGCCATTGTGTCAGTCAAAACCCAATGATCTTTAGTGTAATGTGATATAAAACAGGAAATACCTAGATTTTAGAGGCTGGAAAAACTCACTTCCCCAATTACTCAATAGGGCTGCAACTCAATCTTAGTTTCATTGAGCCAATTACTTCCTAGACCAGTGTTTCTCAAACTTTCTCATACCAAGGACCACTTAACCAATAAAAAAACACTCAGGGACCACCTGACTCCAGAAACAATAGGCCTGCTTCCCACTCCAACGGTACATTACAGCCTAATAATGACAGCTTAACCTTCTCTACTGTATATCGCCTCGTTCACACATTAAATCCACAATACAAATACAACTACAGATTATATAAGCATTTAGTTCAAATGCAATTTAAAATGCTCTCAGGTTTTACACCTCTTATGAAATGTACACTACATTTACTACGGAGTTTATGTCCGAGCCAACAGACTCACAGATCGTTGGCTACTGAGAGAAATGCAAAATACACCGCGTGTATTACGACACAAACCTCCGCTGTGGGTTTTCAAAACAAAATACAGTAAAACTCTGGTCGCAGGCCCAAGTCTAACTCTCTGAGGCCTGCATGGTCTGCCTACAAAACTAAAATAAAAAAACGTCTATGCAGCCCCAACAAAAGCCTCTGATCATCAACAGACGTCATGCAATGCTTCATTGGATGCATGTATTAGATAATAATCTCTATCTCACTTCTAACATCTGAATCTACTTCCAGCATGGATAAATGTTCATAAAATACAATCCATTGTTTGTTTTATACGCTTCTTGAAATCTAAAAAAAAAACACATCGTTTTTCTAGAACAGATTACAAATCGCCTGAAAATGGTACAAACAAGTGGCAACATGTGTGACGAAGGTGTTGCGCTGGGCTATATCATGCAATCGAACGTGAAATTTAAGCTCGCTCCATTGCGGAGATATTCCCGCGAGAGTGCGGAAAACTTTAATTAATTAATTAATTAATTTAAAATGTGAAATTTTAACAATATACTCACGGACCACTAGGGGGCGCTCACGGACCACACTTTGAGAAACACTGTCCTTGACTAACGATAATAATAATAATATATTTGTCCATGCCATCTTCTAAAAGTCCAAAGAGATGTCTTTAAATTACGTGTGTTTCAGTCAAAAACCCAAAGATCTTTAGTTTAATGTGATACAAAACAGGAAAAAGTACTAAATATATATATTTTAAAGCCTCAAAACTGCTTTTTCTGACATATTTGCATGAAAATGATGATTAAAATAGTTACAGATTATTTTTCTGACGCTCCACACAACGGCTCATTTAACAAACGTCTGCAGGAGTTCGTTTAAATCGCTTAAAACATGAAATATTCAGCAAGAAAACCCCCAATCTGTCGGTTAAATCTGTCTAAAACCCCTGCAGGCCTCCATGTTCCCCTCTTGCATGCACAGAGAAGTTGTAAATGACCAGTTTCCACTTCACGGTCCACTCTGAGTTTATTAATTCCTTTCAGAGCGATGCATCCGTCTTTATTACGTCGAGCAGCTTCCTGGCGCTGCTGCTCATTAGAGGAACCAGTCTCACATCAACACTGAGAGTGCAGTTACTCAGACTGGTCATACGATGAGATACCAGTGAAGGCAGGGTAGATAGAATATTTGATATGATTTATATCAATGTAAACTCTGCTCGTGAGTCCCTGACTGTCTCTTTCGTTTGAGTCGACATCAATAAGTAATTTAGGAGTGTTTGCCCAACAGAGACGGACAGAGAGGAAGTTTAAGGAGGACGGATCAATCGATGGAGAAAGCGACAGGAAGGACTTCAATAATTCAAGGATTCCTTTTTATCTCATTACCCCACAAAGAAGATCCCTTTCCTGTTTCTAGAACTGCACCTTTATATATTCAAAAAAGCACCTTTTGTGAATATATAATATATCATTCCCAACCCTGAAGCATAACGACTGGAGACAGATAGCAAGACTCCGAAGATATCAACACATTTATGCAAGTGTATCTTAAGAAATCCAATATTTTAAGCAACAAACTGTGGCTTTTTTGGAAATATTGTGACCCTTATAAGAGCCGCAATGATTAATCGACTCATCTTTAAGTAAAAAAGCTGATACTTAGCCTCTAAAATATGGATCATTTCTGGATTTAGTGAATTTCTTTGGGTTTTTGACTGGAAAAACAAGACATTTAAAGACATCATCTTGGAATTGTTAACTATTTCCCAACATTGTACAGTATAGACCAAATGAAGCAATTAGTCTAGAAAACAAAGTAATAACCAATTAGTTGCAACCTTACCCTTTGATGTAGCTTCATAGTTAGCGTACAGATAGTGGTTTTAATCTCAGCATGACGACAAATAAACATGTTTCCAACAAATTGTTTCTGAGTTTCTGTACTTTCTACTTCTTACATTTCCCAAACAGGCTGGTTCCTTTAGTTTGAATGTGTGTTTGGTGGCGTGATCATTATTATTTAGAGTCATTGCGTGCCTATTGATTTGAACACGATCCGTGTATCCATCATTTCCTGGTCTTCTCTAAAGAAGAGGGACCAATGAAAACGTTGTCATGTTGCCGTTGTTCAGCATGGAAACATTCATTAGCTAACAATGACATTATTGTTCTATTAATATAAAGGGAGGTCAGGTACTCTTTAAAACAGCTGCTAGTTATGGGTACTTTTTACTGAAGTACATTTCAAAGCCCTCTTTACTTTTACTTGAGTAAAGAAGTTTAGTCAGTACTTCTACTTTTACCAGAGTACTTTTAAACACGAGTATCTGTACTTCTACTTGAGTAAAGGATGTGTGTACTCTTGCCATCTGTGAGTAAGAGTTTCTGAGTCCTACCTTCCATCAGTTCGTCCATGCTGGTGATCTTCTTCCCGCCATCTATCGTGTAGATCGAACGAACCCCTTGTGGAAGATGCAAATTATCCGCCAATGAGCGCGTTAGCTCCATCAGCAGCGCATCGAAGGACCTGAACCGATCGCTGGACACCGCGTACACCAAACCCTTGAAGTACCGATCTCCGTTGCGATAAAACCGGACTTTTTTGGCCCGTTTCTCCGAGGTTAGCGTCTGCAGGGTCCTGGTTCTGTAGTAGCTACAATTAGCGCTGTGGGCCGGACTCGGGACCAAACTGCTGGCCCGGGAATTTGGACCGGACCCTCCTCCTCTTCCAGATGTTGTATCATCTCTTTTGGTTCGGGTGGATCTTCCTCGGCGAACTTTGTCGCGTTCGTCGAAGTGCTCCAGCTCGAGGGTCTTACTCAAAGACATGGTGGAGACAAAACTGGACCAGAAACGTTCAAAAGGTCTCGGCTACACAGGATGCATCGTCCAACAGCGGTAAACAATGACTCCTGTCTTCAGTTCCTGATTTTTTTACACCAAGGGTTTCTAGTCCTGGTTATCCGGCTGGTTGTTGGTGTCACACTTTGTCCCTCAGCGTCCTCTCATCCCTCCATCACTGCCAACAAAAGAGATTACAATCAAATGGCTATTGGACATGATTTTCCTGCAACAACCTGCACATGTATATCTCTAAATATATTGAATTCAGTGTTTAGGAGTACTGAACACATGCTTGTGTACCATCAATTTCCTGCAGGGCCAGCGTGAGAATTGTCCATTGATTTTCTGCAGTCAATTAAATGTATCTGCAGCAAGAGACCACATAGGTGATATATAATGTGATGCTTAACTCCTATGTGCTTTATGTGTCCATCTATATATGATATATTATATATATTTGACACGATAGACCTTCAAATATCTCTAAATATATTGAATTCAGTATTTAAGAACACTGAACACAAGCTTGCATTCAGGTTTACCATCAATACATTTGCTTCCTTAAGCTTTTGCATGTACATTATTAATGTTCTGCATTCAAAGCATCATGCAAAACGTGTTTCAAGTGAAATACAACCGTCTTGCTTTAGTGAAATGAAATGTCCTGCAAGGCCAGAGTGAGAAGAATTGTCCATTGATTTTCTGCGGGCACATAAAATGCACCTGCAGCCACAAGCAGAACAGGAACTTGTGCATTCAAATACATAAATAAGTCGATATTTATATGATACACGTTTTTACTTTATCCATCTATCCGCCCTTATAACGCTAAGCTGTGCTGACACACGGACAGGGAGGCACCTACCTAGCAATAATGCCGTTAAACCGGTTTGTTGCTATGGAGGCTTTCTCCTCTCTTACCCGGTGTTGCGTTCAGGTTCCGGTGGATCCAGACAGCTACAACCGAGCCTGCTAACCCGGGATTCAGGGATGAAGCGGTGGGGAGGAGAGAGACACCGGACCGGGATGCACGGAGACCGACAGCAGCATGGCGGCTGCAGCAGAGGGAGGAGAGACCGAGAGACCGGGTGAACCCCCCCTCCCTTTCCCGGCCCTCCCCTCTCCTCCCCGGAATACGTGATGACAGACTCCCCCCCCCCCCCCCCCCCCTTCCTCCATCTCTCTCTCCAGGTCTTTGTCTAGCTCTCTCTTCCTCTCTCTGTCTTTTGTCTCTCCTCAAATTCAAATTAATTTAAGTTATATTGTCATAATGCAGATAATCAAATATCTTAACCCTACCAACATACAATACTATAGTGTTGGACTACATTAAATTAAATAAAAACAACTATATCTTCAATATATCAAGTTATTTGTTTTATTTAGAAATGTAATCAGTGATGGAAACTACAATTTGGATGTTTTCATTTAATACTACTCTATACTTTGTACCTTTTGACTTCACTGCATTTATTTTACAGATTTATTGACAAGTTACTTTATAAATTCTTATTTTGCTTAGGAAAAACCTTTAAAATGTGATTATTTGATATAACCATCCACCATTATATTTAAATAACTAAAACCATGATAATAGATAATTAATTAAATGTGAAGATTTGCTGCTTTTGCTTAAAAATACTTTTTTTCCAGCAAGGAGTCCTAGTAATTTTAGTCCTAATACTTTATGTACATTTTCATAATTGTACTTAAATACTTTTACTGAAGTACGATTCTCGATGCAGTACTTGAAATTTAGTATTTTTACAGTGTGGTATTACACATTTTACTCAAGTTAAGAATCTAAATACTTTTTCCACCACTGACTTCAATGTAGAAGATGAAGCTTTAGCCAGGAGATAGTTAGCTTAGCCTAGCTCTCCCTCTGAAACGAGGAGGTATAAGCTAGTAGTTAAAACCGAAACTCTTAATTTGAAAACCTCTTTACGTACCATTACAAAAATAAAATGTGGTGATTGAGCTTAAGGTGTTGTGTTACTTTTAGTCAGAACAAAATAGATTTAGCTCCATTAATTGATACTTTCCAGGAGGTAACAGCTAACGCTACTTAGCACCCGGCTAGGAGACAGTTAGCTTAGCACAGCATTAAGACTGAAACCAAGAGGAAACAGTAAACGTTGGGCAGGAAATCAGATATTATTAAAACATAAATAACGTTTTATTTAGCTAAAGGTGCTGCATTTGGTCATCTTTAGTCAGAATAAAATTAAAATAAAGATTTTGCTAAATTCGTTGATGCTTTGAGGAGGGTAACAGCTAACGCTACTTAGCACCCGGCTAGGAGACTATTAGCTTAGCACAGCATTAAGACTGAAACCAAGAGGAAACAGTAAACGTTGGCCAGGAAATCAGATATGGGCCAAAGCTTTTACTTTAGTTTAAAACAAATCTTGATTTTCTTCACACGATAGCCATAGCCTTGTGAATTCAACTCTAAATCTAGTCCTATTGCCACCATTACTTATATTACTGCAATTATCCATACTTACTCCAACTGTAAGCACACTTCATTATGTTAATACCACTACTACTGTGCTGCTTTACCATGCCTTTATTCATTTGTAACAGTAACAACATCATTATTAATGATTTTAAAAGATGTATTATGTTAACAAACGATTGTAGAAACGATTGGGGGAAAAACCTAATAAATAAATAATGACAAATTACTATAATGGTTGAAGTAATAAATAATTCTCCCCCGTTAGTGGGCTACATTTTTTATGAAGTTGTGGTGGGCGTGATTCAATGTTTTTTGATGACACCGCTCAGGTTACGGTTTTTAAATGTTAGTTAAATATTGGCTATATTAGATTATTGCAGATATGGCAGTATTAGTAAATATTTACGTTGACGAAATGTCAAATTTGGTCGTGAAATGATTCCGTTTCAAGGGACTTTTTAAATATGACATCTGGCGCAGAATCGAAAAAACACAATTTATAATTTTTACTCTTTTATTTAACAAGATATATAGATATTATGTTTATTATAGTTAACATTTTTGACAGTCATCTCAACACAATTGTTTGCGTTTTGTATGTGAACACAGCTTACTTGACTTTTTGACCATAAAACATGTATAAAATCCAGTTTTTACTCGACGTTTCACCTGCATCTTCTCTTTCTTCTTTCTTTTAGCCTATATACGTTGCTGTGACACATGGAAGAAGAGACCCCACCCTCCCTCAGGGTGTCCAGGGTGGGTGGGGGCGACAGCTGGGACACAAAGCTGCCAAACAGCCCCACCCTCTGCTGTCAAACCAGTCAACCATTCATCCCAACATGACAAGGTGGACAATCCATTATGTTATACACATGAACCGTCTTAGCATACGGAAAAAAAATATATAAGCAATGTTCAGAAGTCTCTGTGGGTGTTTTTAAGTTCTCAGTTATGGTTTAAAAGGTTTGAAGGGGTTATTTGTGTCTTAATGTTTGTAAATAAAGAGATTAGGCTACTGCATTTTCTTAAGACTTATTGAAACATGGAAAGTGCATTATCCAAACCTCACCCCAAAAAAGATTTATTTATTTATTTTTCTCAACGACTTGTAAAAAAGGTAATTTCCTTATTTGCTTTTTGAGCTATAGTTAACCCAGTTAGATGTTTCCCTATGGTAGCTTTGGTGCAGTTCAACGTCTCACAGAGTGAAGTCAATGGTAGCTTCCCAAACACTGATTATTCTTGCCTTTTTCCCCCTATAATGATCTCTAAATGAGGGTATTATCTGCCAAATTAATATCACTTTTGATGTGAGAATTAGATTATTCAGTCAGTGAGTTTGCAGAAAAAATGCAATTGAAGATGTGGGGACATCTAGTGGAGAAAAACACATGAGTCATTCAGCATTCGGTGCCATTTAGGTCCCCAACACATTATATCATATAATTTGCATTTAAAAGGTCTAATGCTTATTTTTAAAAGCTTGGGTTTACATGTTTATTCCCCTCTACCATAAAACAACAATGTTATTTACCCAGGATATAATTACTCTGATTTTAGCACAAGTATAGGCCAAATTGCTGCGTCCCAAATCATGTTTGCTCAACTTCTATAAAAAAAAGCAATCAAACAAATACAAACAAATTCTACATTTTTTGTTGTTAATTCATTTTTATTGTTTAAAGTTTTTTTTAAAGTGTGTGTCCTCTGTTTGAATGTCCCCGTTACTCTTGATTTGAATCCCTCTGGACACGCCCCTTTACTATTCTACTATTTGTATGACTCAAGGAGGATACATTTTGAGCGGGAAAATCATCTTCAAGAAGCAGAGTAAGTATGCACTCTTCCTTCAACGTTTTTTAAATGTTTTTAAAGAAGTTAACTGTTGCGGTAAAGCATGACATGGCCACCCTGTTATGTTCATTTTTAGTGGAAACTGATAAAAATGCTTACATTTAGAAAATATGGTGAATATATCTATCAAATATATTTTTCTGTTGTCACCAAGTGCGAGCTTGATTATCATCACACATGTAGCAATAGCCAAGTTTAGCATAACATTTCCACCCTGTTACGGCCTGTCCACACGGTGGCGTGCGTTGAAGCTGTAACGCCTCTGCCCATTCACTTTGAATGGGGTGACGTCACGCTTTGCCGAACTGCATTGTGGTTCCGTCACTTCGCTTTGCTCGCGTTGCTCGCTTCAAAAGTAGAGCAATGTTCAACTTTTGAAGCTTCGACGGAAGCGTCAGCCAATCAAATCATATGCCAGTACAAGCTCTAGCCAATCAAACCGCGTGCTTGTGTGTCCGGGGCGGGAGATCCATGTGATTGGTTGTTGGTCGAGTTTCAGACACGCCCACCGGCAAGCTTCAAAGCACGCCGCCGTGTGGACGCTGCGTTACCGTCCACCCTGTTACTATTTTTCACAGTAACAGGGTGGACTCACAGTAACGGAGGATGTTAAATGGCTAGATCAGGGGTGTCAAACTCAAGGCCCGGGGGCCAAATCCGGCCCTCGACTTCATTTTATGTTGCCCCGCAAGAGCTCTGAAAGAACATAATGTTTATTATACGGTTATAAGCACGTTGCCCATAAACTACATGTCCCACAATGCACCTCATTTTGTGACGTGCGCACTGAAGAGACTTGCAATTATTTGCTCTAGACTTCTGCTTTTCAGACGTATTTAATTATGAAGTTATTACCCTATCAGATAATAATCCAATGCAGAGGCAATAATGTAATATAATACATTTTATATAAATTATATATTTATATATAGTCTTAAAGTTTTGCACTGGCTTTTAATACGAGTTGAACATAACATTTTGATATTTGTATGTGTTTTTACATGTTTCTAGTTATTGTGCTTTTTATCTCGATTTTAATTATCGTTTTATTTTACTCCTATTGTGTGATTTTATGTGTGTTCCCTGTACAGCGCTTTGGTCAACTGAGGTTGTTTTAATTGTGCTATAAATAAAGATTGAGATTGAAAGTTACAACCGGCCCTTTGAGTGCAACCATAATGCTGATGTGGCCCACGATGAAATTTAGTTTGACCCCCCTGGGCTAGATGATTAACTATTTCCAGCATGTGTTGTTATGTATTGTTTGTTTAATATGCAAATATGTTATAGTCTTAAATGATATGATATAATGGTATGAATGTATTTATCAGGAAATGGCACCGTTGTCTAATGCAGAAAAGCAGCGACGCTACACGAAAAGTGGAAGAAAGACAGAGAAGAAGGGAAAAAAAGAAAGTGTCAGACCTCAGTGAAAGAGGAAGGAGAGTACAGAGAAAGAAGTGGCAAGAAAGCTTAGGGATAAAGCAAGATCCAGCGTAATGACCACTCCACCTCGAAGTCGAGACAATCCCCTGGATGCAGCACAACAAGGGCCCTCAAGGTTAGAATAAAGTTGAGGGTTAAATGCTTTGCAGATTGTGTGAATCCAAAGTGCATTGACTCCTTCACATGCAATCTAATTGGGTACATTACTGACCTGCATGCATAACTAAATGGATGGTCCTACAAGGTGTTAAGGAATAATTCTTCTAGATATCTAA